CAACGGGCCCCAGTGGCGGGTCCTGGGTCTCCCCATTATTCGTGCCCTCCAAGAGCCCCAGGGATTCCCTGTGGCAGGGATCCCCAGAGTAGAGACCCCCTGACCTACTAATTCCGTTCCTGGAGTCCCTCTCCCTGGGCACTCATTGACCAGGAGAGCAAGGCCGGAATCACTGTCTAAACTCTGCAGGAGAATGTGGGGGTCCCCCAGAAGACCGCCTGCACCCCTATGGCCAGCCCGATCGTCCCCAGCCCCACCCCCTAGCATCAGGTCCCTTCAGTGCTCACACTCAACCCACCCGCAGGACTTGATTGCCGGTTTTTCCCGCCTCGTTTTCCCGCCTTCTCCCGGCTGTCCAGGCGGGCAGGGCTGCCCTGCCCCCTCCGCCTTGCCTGCTCTGCTCTGGCCAGTCTTGGCGGGCACACAGTAACCCATGCTGGGCGCTTGGACAGGGTGCTCAGAGCTGGGGGGCCCAGCAGTGGGGAAGACTGACCCTGCGGGTGGTCTCTGGGAGGGTAAATTCTTATCTGGGGAGACAGGCAAGAAATGAATAAATGAAGCGGATCATTTCAGACACTAGGTGCAGTGAAGACAGGACAATAGCTGGAGAGTGACCAGCAGCCATGTGGGGGTGGGGAGAGCGGATATTCTGGTTGAAGTGGAGAGGTGGGCCTCTCTGGGAAGATGACATTTGAGCTGAGATCTGAGAGGAGAAACCAAGGATAGATGGGCCCAGCAAGGGAGGGCAAGCTCAGAGGCAGGAAAAGGCTGAAGGGTGTAGGGGGAGCCGCAAGGAGGCCGGCGTAGGCTGGACAGACGCGAAAGAAGGGAGGTCGGAAGGGGACGAGGTCAGAGGGGTGTCAGATAAGGTCTCACAGGCCACCAGGAGAGCTTTGGTTTTCCTCTTGGGAGCAGCAAGTAGCATGGGAAGGCTGTGAGCAGAAAAGCAATGAGTCCCCATCTGTTTCACAAGGCTTCTCCGGCACTGTGTAGAGTCCCTTCCAGCTTGGCATTGGCGCTTCTGCTCTGATTTCCCCAGGTGCAAACAGAGTCATGCCCCGACCCCGAGATGTCCACATCCTAATCCCTGGAGCCACCGAACAGGGTAGCTTCCGTGGCAACAGGGACTTTGCAGATAGGGTTAAATGAAAGATCTTGAGATGGGGCGATTTGTCTAGATCGTCCAAGCTGGCCCGACGTCCTCATGAGATTCCTGATAAGTGAGAGGAGAGAGGGTCAGAGTGACAACGGAAGCAGGGGTTGGAACGATGAGACCAAGAGGCAAGGACTGTGGGAAGCCCCTAGGGGCTAGAGAAGGCAGGGGACAGATTCTTCCTCCTAGACCCCTGGAACACAGTCCTGCTGACACCTCGATATTACCCCTCGGACCCATTTCAGACTCCTGACCTCCAGAACTGCGAGAGTATCAAGTTGGGTTGTTTTAAGCCACTAAACGTGTGGTGATTTGTTACAGAAGCCATAGGAAACTAACATGCTCCAATGCACAAAGCCCAGACACACTAACTGTCTCCAACTTCAGGACCCTGCTAGCAGACATGCTCCGGGTGCTCAGCCATCAGCCACGAGTGGGCCACGTCGCGGGTGCGAGCAGGTATCAAGCAGGCCTGCTGGCGCCTGTGAAGCAAACGAGACCTTCCAAATGGAGAATACCTGCTGCAGGAAGCTGGCCCATCCCTGGTGCAAGCGTATCATCCGCTCATGCCTGCTGCGGCAGAAACACAGCGTGGCCCAAAGAGGGGATGCATCTGGTGCAGGGCCCGCAGCCCAGGCTCCTTCGACACCTGAGGTTAACGCAGAAAGAGGTGTCTGGCGTTCCCTGCAGAAAAGCCCGCGAGGGGTAGTAACACAGGGCCCCATCTCTCTACTCATTTCGAGACAGTCAGAGGAGTTATTTGGGTTAATTAACAAACACGAATAATGCTATGCCAAGCATCTCCGAAAGATGCTTACAAACCAGTCAGGGAGACGAGGTATCGATGTCCACAAAAGACATCGTGTAAATTCAAATGGCACAGCAGAGACGATGGATGAGGCCTGCCAGAGTCTGGAAAATGGACACTTCCGAGTGCTTCTTCCACATCGGTGTCTCTCGCTCTTAAGCACCAGCCCATGTGCAAATCAGGTACCAGGAAAAGCTGGTAGGTGGCAAAGGGCCTCGGTTTCCCTTCTGCAAAATGATATGCTCTTAAAGGTCAGTAAGTCATTCAACAAACTTGTATTAACCTCCCTTGTCCAAACCAGGTCCTGGGGCCAGCAGACATTGGTGGACATGAAGCTTCCTGAGACAAAGCCCCACCCTGGAGGGGCTCCCGACCAATGGGGGAGACATAGGAGAACAGAGAAACCTCAGTTGTGCAGGGAGATGGTTCTTCGTGACGGCGTGCATCTGTGGGTGGACCACACAATGCTCCGAGCCAATGCCATTCATGCCAGGTTTCTTGTCTGGGCTGTATTCTAAACAGGCGGGCATAAATATAAAGCCATTAAAATGAAGGTGATTGTGTATGACCCTGAACATGTGAGCCCGGAGAGGCGCACAGACCACATCGGGCAGCCGTCCGATGGGGCAGACAGTATCTCTGCGCCCAGTCACTGAGCTGCTCCTGACACCCACCTCAGCAGAGCACTTGGAAGGGCTCTTCCCACCCAGGCCCCCCAAACCCTGGCATGGCGACAGGTGTTGCCTGTGTGGCAGAAATGATGGCTCCTGACAGTTGTTTTTGCTCGTTATTGCCTAGGAAAGACTGGTCGGGACCGTTTCGCCAACCGGTGGGGACTCTGGGATTCCCAAGCTGCCGCCCACTCCCAAGCAACTATCCTGCCTCCCCTCCTCCGGGCCATTGGGGATCCCTTCCCAGAACCCTGGCTGGATGATGTCACAGATGGGTGACCTCACTGCGGCCAAGGAACTGGGCACCTCAGTGGCATGGAGGAGGGGGAGGATGTTTCCCCAGCCACCCAACCCTCCATGTCTGTGGTGAAGTTGATCGATTTAGTGCTGCCCAAGGATGCGATCTACCTGGCTGGCTCCTGCGTAAAAGGGCAGGTGGTTCTCACCCTGCACAGCACCCTGGTGGACCCCATCGTGAAGGTGGAGCTCGTGGGACGGGGCTACGTGGAGTGGAACGAGGAAGTCGGGGCATACCGCGATTACAGCAGGGATGTCATTTGTAACAACAAGGCCGACTACGTGCACAAGACGAAGACGTTCCCAGTGGCGGGTAAGGACGAGGCCGGCAGCCAACCCGAACCGTACTGGGAACCTGGGTCTGGAAGGTAAACACGTCTGTTAGTCGATCACCAAACCCCAGGGATATCAAATGGGCTGAGACGGAAGGAAGGGAAGCCACGTAAAACACGACCATCAGATACACGTAAGGAGACGTAAGGCGCTGGCCATGGAGGTGACCGCGGAGCTGAGGTCTAAGTGATGGGAGGGACGCCAGCCCTGCGGGTATCTGGGCGGGGAGGGAACAGCAAAACGCTGGGGCTTAAGACTCAGCAGTTAGGCGGCCTCTCTGTCCCAGTTAGGCCCTCTAGAAAATGGTAACAAGAAGCTTTGCCTCGTAAGATAGGACCTAGCAACTCGACGGCCTGTAAAGGGCGTAGACAGGGCGGGCCACGCAGCATTTCATAGTTCGTTCTTTCACCCAAAACAACCCCCTGCCCAGAGCCACCCCCGCCATCAGGCACCACGCTCCCTTCCCCGTTTCCAAGAGGCGGCATTTCCTCTCAAAAGCATCGGCCTCAAGCCTGCAGTGAGTGCGTTCCTTTAGTTCACAACCATTTACTGAGCACCTACTGTGTACAAGACCGAGCCTGGTGCTAGGGACGCAGCAGTGAATAAAGCAGACACGGGCCCTGGTGTCATCGGGTTGCCATCAGGCAGGGAAATCACCATCGCAGGAAGATTTGGGTGAAATACAAGAAGGAATAAAAAGAGGCGATCACAGAAATCGGGGGTGGTGTGAGTTGCTCCCTGGTCCTCAGTTGCCATGCGGTCACTCAGCAAACATTAAGCACCTCCCGTGTGCCACGCACTGGGAGTTCAGGCTGCCTTGCTCGCTACCGCAGACAGCGCCTCATAGAGCTTTCCGGCACCCGTAGGAGCGAGACGTGTTTGTTGAATGAATGTGTGACTGAATCCTGAGGGCAAGTTTCTCAGGTCCAAGGCAGGGCTGAGGGAGTCCCTGTCGGTGTTCCGGGGTGACCGCCCCAGCCCTGTCACTTACCCGGGACAATGCCCTGCAGCCCAGCCGAGGCCCAGGCCATGCAGGTCCCTAAAAAAGCACATAGCTCAGCCTAGGTCAGGGACAGAACAACCTCCCCGCCAAAACAGTAAAGAGGAAGAAAAAAAGAAAAAAAAAAAAAAGCTCTAGAACCTTCTGATGGCGTCGGTGTGTTTTGCTTTCAGATAATTGGTTAAGTGCAGGCAGCCACACCTTTGACTTCCATTTCAACTTACCTCCCAGGCTCCCTTCTACCTTCGCCAGCAAAATCGGCCACGTCTTCTACTACGTGCAGGCCTCCTGCGTGGGCCGGGAGCACATACTGGCCAAGAAGAGGATGTACTTGCTAGTTCAAGGGACTTCGGACTTCCACAGAGAAAACCCGCTGCAGGTAGTGATGGGGGAGGGGCAGGGGCAGGGCCTGTCCCCAAAGCGACAGGAGGCAGGGGGAGGCGGGTGGGCAGGGGACAGAAAAGGCCCCAGCGGGGAAGAAGGGAGAAGAGCTGGCAGCTGCCCAGGCCCAGTGCGTCCACACGTGTGAATCAGAAACCAGGGCAGGAACTAAGCCGGTGGGACTCGACTGGGGTGTTCTGCCCCCAGGGGACATTGGCGATGTCTGGGGACCCGTGTGGTTGCCACGACTGGGGGTGCTCCTGGCTCAGGTGGGCGGAGGCCAGGGATACTACTGCTCATCGCTCCAGAGAACGCTCGAGCCCCACTGTCCTTGACCCTGCAGGAGGTCAGCACTGAGCCGAGGTCGCCCTGTCACCCCACGAGTGAGGGAGAGGCCCGGACACTCAGTGACTCCCTGGGGGCTTTGAGCCCTCAGACAGGGAGACGGTGCCACACTCCCCACAAAGCCAGGGAGGCGGGCGGCCTGCGTCGCAGGAAAGAAAGGACCTGTGGCCTCAGTCCGGAGGTTTTATGGATGGCTTCTGGAGGTGCAGGTGCACAGGCGGAAGTTGGGGGGGGTGGAGGAACGTTGGCCAAAGTCACACTTCACCTTCCTGGGGACTCGTTTGCTATCAGTGCAGTAGTGAGAGGGCTGCCATTTTCATTTTCAAGATCCAGATTAAAATCCCAGAGCCCCCACCTACCTGCTGAGTGACCCTTTAGAAGTGACTCTGCCTCCCTGCACCCCCGCGTCCTCATCTGTGAAATGGGCGTAGAGACCGTGCCTGCCTCCTAGGTCATGGAGGGCGTAATAAGTGGACTTAACGCGAGTCCAGGTCTTCGCACAATGCCTGGCACGGGGCAGGGAGCAGGGCGCGCCCAGTAAATCTCGTCGCCGCTGGGCCCCCCGGTACTATCCTCTGTGTGACAAGGATCATCTCTAGCCCAGCCGACCTCAGGGGATGGTCTGGGAGGGTGCCCCGAGGGGTAGATGCTGGGAGGGGTGCATCAGCCCCGAGACGAGCAGACCTGAGCTCAAGGACTGCTTGGCTGCCTGTCCTCTGTGTGACCTTCAGCAGGCTGTGTCCCTTCTCCAGGCCTCCCTTCAGAGCTCACCTGGATTGCAGGAGCACAAGGCGGGAGTTGGGGCAAAACACTGGCGTTGGGTCAGACAGCACCATATACCTCTGCCCTGGGCAATTAACAGCACCTTGCAGAGCCTCGAATGTCCCGATCCGTGGGATGTGCATGACAACAGCACACGCAGAGGTCCCGAGGCAGGACAGCTGGGAGACCGGGCAAGAGGCTGCTGCTCTGGTCCAAGTGGATGCAGAGTCTTGAACCCCCCGCAGTCTGTCTTTGTCAGAGCCAACCAAGAAAGTCACCCCCTCTGCCCACAGCCCTCCCAGGCTCCCACCTCCCTCAGGGTGAAAGCCCGAGTCCCCTCTGTGGCCCACAGTGTCCTGCAGGACCTGCCCGGCCTCTCCCTACCCTCCCCTCCTCCCTCTGTCCCCCTCATTCCCTCTGCTCCGGCCACACGGGCCTCCTCGCCGTTCCTCCAACACGCCAGGCCCGGTCCCACCCCAGGGCCTTGGCACGTGCCGTGCCCTCTGCTCGGAACACTGAGATGTGACCCTCCTTCCCCGTCTTCACTCAGCCTGCACTGCCGATGGCCGAAGAAACTGCCACGAGCCCCATGGAGGGCAAGTTAGCCGTATCTATCCAAATTAAAACGATCATGCGCTTCGCCGCAGCCATTCATTCCCCTTCTAGAAATTTCTCCTCATATTCTTTCACATGTGTGACATATGACTTCCCACAGCACTGTTTATAGTGGCAAAAACTGGAAACGGCCTAAATGTGGCCGATTGAATTTTTCCAGTAGAAGCGCAGTCAAAGGAATACTCTATATAGTAAAGCGAGAGAGACGGAGACAGACAGAGACACAGAGACAGAAAAATAAACAGAGAGACAGAGAGAGAGAGAGAGACAGAGACAGAGAGAGAGAGAGAGACAGAGAGACAGAGAGAGAGAGAGAGACAGAGAGACAGAGAGAGAGAGAGAGACAGAGAGACAGAGAGAGAGAGAGAGACAGAGAGACAGAGAGAGAGAGAGAGACAGAGAGACAGAGAGAGACAGAGAGACAGAGAGAGACAGAGACAGAAAAATAAACAGAGAGACAGACAGAGGCACATAGAGACAGAGACAGAGAGAGACCGAGAGAGAGACAAAGAGACAGAGAGACAGACAGACAGATAGGGAGAGACAGAGAGACAGAGAGAAATCAAGGCTCTCCCTGTCCAGGGCTCCAAGTTGCTGGGTGGCGTGAATCGAGTTTAGCACAGCACGCCCTGCCTGGCACTGTGGGGGAGAAACAAAGCACTTCCTCGCAGGTGCCACAAACATCTCTAAAAGCTCAGCAGAGAAACTGGCAACAGGCTGCCCCCCGGGCGGGCGGCCGGGGGAGGGAGGGGAAAGGAACTTTTCTCCTTCCACTTTTTCGTTTTTAACAGCTTTATTGAGATACGATCCACCCACCTAACAGTTCAGTGGCCTGTAATGTGTTCACAGAGCTAGGCAACCATCACCACAGTCCATTTTAGAACATTTCGTCACCCCACAAAGGAATCTTGCACCCCTTAGCTGTCACCCCCCCACACACACAGCGCCTCCCCAGCCCCTGGCAAGCATGAATCCGCTTCCTATCTCCCAGGATTTGCCTGTTCTGTACATTTCGCATAAATGGAATCGCAGGCTATGTGGTCTTTTTGCGTCCGGCTTAGTCCACTTGACGTAATGTTCTCCAGGCCCACCCACGTTGTAGCGAGTGTCAGGTGTCACTCCTTTTCAAGGCCGAGTCACTTTCGGGCGCTGGGATGGACCGCACTGCACGCGTCCCTGCCCCCACCGATGGAGCCGGGCTGCTCCCACTCTTGGCTGTTCTGAATCACGCTGCCGTGAACACTCCCGCACAGGTGTTTGTGTGGACAGCGGCTTCGTTTCTCCTGGGTGATCTCCCGGAGTGGAAGTGCTGGGTCAGATGGTCACTCTGTTTCACCTTTCGAGGCACGGCCCATTCCCCACAGCGGCCGCCTGATTTCACGTTCCCACCCCCAATTTCTCCCCATCCCCTCCACTGGGTACCTTTAGAATTTCAAAAGATGTGACCCATCTCCTCTGCCAACAGCCAGTACCACCTGGGAGAGGAGCTTGTCCCAGAACCCCTTCCTAACCATCCACACTCTAAGGGAGCCCCCCACCCCCCACAACTCCTCTTACCTCATCCTGCCACGGTCTCGTCACTGCCCCAACCAGAAATGACCTGGGTCGTCTCACCAGTCACAGTCACATCCGCCTCCCCGACCAGAGCTTCACTACTGTAGGTTTTCCCTAGACTTGGCACCAAACAAATGCAAATAAAGACCAACTGAGTGAATGAGCCCCCAAGTTTCTGCACACCGAGGGAACACAGGGTTTCAAAGAACCCCAGGTGCAGGAAACCCAACGCTGGCTTTGCATTGGGAACATCACTGGACGGGGCCCCTGCCTCCCCCCATCCCCCGGCCAGGCGTGGGGGTCTCCGCCTGGCCACCTGGGGCACCTCCTTCAGGATCATGTTAGCATCTTGTGCCCCGGTTACAGCAGCGGCCTCTGGCCCATAAGGCCTGCAGGGTCCTAATGCATGCCATGAATTTTTGAATAAGACTAGAGGGATTTAGAACCAAAACTGTCTGCAAAGAGCCTTCCTACTGGAGAGGAAGGTGGGAAGGCTGAGGGGGGCCACAGGCAGGGGGCCGGAGCTGAGGCAGGAAGGGGTCAGGGGTCGTCTGAGGTCTCCAAGAGGAAAGACTGCCCAGCCACCTGGAGCAGCGTTTCCCAAACCTCAGACCACGACCCGTTTATGGGTTGCAAAACCGATCTCGCAGGTCGCAGGCCTGTTTCTATAAAATGAAAGAATTGGCGAGACCAACACGGAAATATCAGAAAATAGCAATTTTGTGTGTTGCAGACATTTATATGTTTCTATAAAAATGTATAAAAATAATTTTTATATATTTATATACATGAAAAAGAACAGAATAAAATAAGGACAATAGAAAATATCAGAAAAAAATCAGTTTGGCGGGTTGCAATCAACTTTAAATGAAAGAATAGTTTTCTGGAAAAAAATGAATTTGTGGGTTGTAACAAAAACAAAATAATAGAGTATGTAGACAAGTATTAAAAAATAAATAAATTCAGGGGGGTCACAACCAACAATTTTTAAATGAATAGAATAAATAGAACAGGAAATATTAGCAGGCAGTAGCAAGGATAAATATAATTTCATAAAACAGATTTATCTTTCATAGATAGATGTAGATGTACATATAGATTTGTACTCTTTGCCACAATGTTAAAAGCTGTGTTTTGACTGTGAGTTGTTTTTGAAAAAGGGAATAATATATGACTAATCATGTGGCCTGCAAAGCCTAAGATATTTATTATCAGGTCCTTTGCAGAAAAAGTTCGCCAACTCATGCCCTAGAAAATCTCTCAGGTGTAAGCCCAAGAAGATCACTTTCAGGCTGCTCCTTTGAGCACTTTTATGGCATCAAACACATGGAAACGATATAAACATCCATCCATTGTGGATAAGTAAATGATTTTGTAACACATCGTGAACCAGAATGACAGGCACCACATGAATGCATTTCAAGCACACGATATTGAACTAGGGGAGCGAGTGGCTGGAAGACCTACGTAGCTTGCTTTACTTAAAATATTAAAACACATAAAACAATACTATACACTTCTACCACAAATAGATGCATTCTTAAATAACTCAAAAGTCCGATGAGAATGACAAATATCAAAGTCAGATGTTGGCTGGATGTGTGGGGGTGGGAGGGGGGAGGCAAGGAGGCAAAGCCCACGGCATCCAGATTTCATTCCGATGGGTAATGTTTTAATTTATTTCTCGAACTGGTTGGAAGATACATTTTAACTTGTTAGATTATTCTTTACGGGCTTTTTCTCTAAAACAATATGTTTTGTTTAGATCTCTACACACAAACAGGTGCAAGTTGAAGAAAGTGATTAAAATTCAGGATAGTTCCATTTCCAGGACTGAGGGGGGGTGCGGTTTGGGGACATATGAGAGATTTGGGGGGAAAACTGGAAGATTTCTGCTTTTTGACTTGGGTGGATATGACAAGAGGATCGGCCTTACAATAATTCACAAAGTTAACACATTTGCTTTGTGGGGTTTTCTATATCTGAGTTGCATTGTTTAAATAACATTTAAGAGTTTTTCAAAAATGCATAGATATGATAAACCCCAAATTCAGGAATAATGGTTACCTCCAGGGAGGGAGGGGATGGAATGGCATTGGGGAGGACTCCCCGGGGACTTCAACTCTCAGAGAGATGTTTTCTTTATTTTAAATTACGGTAAAATACTCATAACATAAAACTTGCCGCCTTAACCGTTTTTAAGTGTATAGTTCAGTAGCCTTAAGTACGTTCACGTGGTTGTGCAGTATTGATGTTTTATTTTTTAAGTGAAGTAAATTGGAAGAAGTCCCACCTGCTAATAAAGCAGGACCATGGCATTGGCGTGCTAGTAAATGGTTAACTGCCGACTCTGGTGCAAGGCAGCCCTGACATGTAACGTTTGCCAATTTCCATGGTGTAAATACTCCCATCAAGTTACTAACTTGATGTCACTAATGGGAAGTTGAGTTTGCAAGCATGTTATACTTCTCCCTCCCTCCCTCCTTTCCTCCCTTCTTCCCTCTCTCCCTCCCTCTCTAGTATGCTTAAAGGAAATGAGCACACACGGAAGTATCAAGTTCCTATGTAAGAAGATCCTGGAAGGCCGCAGCAAAAGTGGAGAGCAAATCATTCTAAGCCCATCCCACATTATGTCAAATCTTTTCGATTATCCACAAATAAACACTAAAATGTTACCCAAGCCACACGTTAAATATAATATAATGTACGTGTGACTTTATTCGCAATCCAGCAGCTGCCTAGTTAATGTAAGGGCTGCATTTTGAAGCATTTACTTTAATATGTTACATAATTGCAACTCCATAGTTCTCTTTTCATGATTCAGACTCCCTGAGCTTTCCTCGGAGTCTGAACGACTTGGGTAAGCCCTAGTCTTGGGCTTAGACTGTGAGACATTCCGTATCTTCCAGAAAACCAAGGCTCAGAGAGGTCACTTGTTCACAGTCACACAGCAAGCGCGTAACGGAGCTGGGCTGAAGCTAGGGTCTTGTGGATTTCTTAGCCCTATTTTACGGATAAGGAGATAGATACTCAAGATGGCAAAGGGCTTTGACTAAAGGAAGCTGGGAGATGACTGCAGGCTTTCAGCTGCGAAATCCCCAAGACTCTGGGTTCAATCCACCTCAGTGCCTCTTACTGGGAGAGTCCCAAGAGGCTGGAGGCCGGAGGCGCCGTCATGGCGGCATGTCGGGCAGGCGAGTGGACGTTACGGCCACGACGCCTCACTGTTGTGCATTACCCTCCCCCACCTCTTCCAGAATCCCCTGTTCGTGGAGGCTAAGAAGAAGGTTTCTTACAACTGCTGCAGCCAGGGCACCATCTGCCTCCAGATCCAGATGCAAAAGAACAGCTTCACGCCCGGGGAGAGGGTCATCTTCACCACGGAGGTCAGCAACCAGACCGGCAAGTGCATCAAGACAGTCGTCTTTGCCCTCTACGCCCACGTGCAGTACCGGGGCTTCACCCCCAAGGCGGAGCAGCGGTCACGTATGGACAGCAGCACACTCCTCCGGCAGGAGGCCAATACCCAGATCGCGCCCTTCAACACCGCCAAGATCGTCAGCACCCTCGGCCTCCCGCCTGTGCTGTCTGTGAGCAGCGACGTGGCCGACAGCGAGATCATGAGCACCCAGTACGAGCTGGTCGGCACCGTCCACCTGCCCTGGTCCCTGACCTGCGTGAAGGCCAAGGTCCCCATCGTCATCACCAGGACCGCCTTGGACTCAGACAGCTGCCAGCCGCAGGAGGGGGCGGGTGTACCCGTGAGGGAGGATTGCCAGCATTAAGTGCCCAAACTTCTAAATATCGAGAGTTTTATCACTCTACCGGTGGCCCTTCCTTCGTCTTGCACAGGTGGCCTTCCCATGGGTCTGGGTGTGCGGGGGCACCTTGCCTGAGCTTCCCCAGGCTCCAGCCGCTTCGGCATCCATTTCTCCCACCACCCCCCCCAGAAAGGTCACGGCCAGAAGACAAAGTGAACCGACAAGCTGTCCTGACCCTGCCGCGAGTTCGTTAGCCAGCGCTCCAGACCCATCTCCGTGATGGAGTCTAAAGGTGCTGACCAGGGGTCCTCAGCCAGGTTCTGTCCTGCAGGGGACGCCGGGCCATGTCTGGGATATCCACGGGTTCACGAGTGTAGGGGTGCTCCTGGCACCAAGTGGGTGGGGGCCAGGACAGCCCGGGCCCAGGGAGTGATCTGGCCCCAAATGTCAGCAGTGCCGAGGGGGAGAGCAGTTCACGGGGAGCAGGTGGCCATCAAGTCCCAGGGCTGGGTCTATGGGCCTGTCACCCACATCGGCTCCTGCTGCTGCTCCCACTCACACCCCTCCTGGGGTTCCACCCACTCCACTTGGGGTAAAAGCCAAAATCGTGCCCGCAAACGGCATACACGATGGCCACCTCCAGCCCACCGGCAAGCAGGAGCTCTCCTCCCAAATCTGCCCGGAGCCTGCTCATGTCCCTCCCCCCACCGCCTCAGCGTGCTTCCGTCCGTCCGTCCGTCCGTCCACCATCTCCACTCACCTGGACCAGTGCGGTCACCTGCCCCGCCCCCGCAAATAAAAACCTAGAACACCCACTTAAACTTGAAGGTCAGAGAAACAGTAATTTTTTTTTTTTTCAGCATAAGTATATCCCGCACCATACTCGGGATATACTTAAGCTTAAAATATCATCCGATGTTTATCAGCTCTTCCAATGTGAGCCAGCGACCTGGACGTTATCCCGCAATCCAGTTCCCCAAGCAAGTAGAAGACCCTCCGCACAGATCAGGCCCCCTCAGTCCTCGACCTAAAACCTTCACCGTTCCCACAGCACCGGCCTTGGCCCACCAGGCCCTGCAGGGCCAGGAATGGACCGGAGTCTGGTTTTCAGGCTCATGACTCTGAAATGTTTCTCCAGGCAACTGCAGGCTGTAAAACACACCCGCAGCTGCCTTGCCTGCCGCAGGCAGGAGGCATATAAACTTGCATGGCAGCCCTCCACCCCACCCCCCGCGGCATCCTGGAAGATTCCGGAAGAGGCGGCAGGTAACGCCAACGGAGCCACTGTTGCAGATCCAACTTTTCTTGGGAAGCGGGGCAGACAGGATACACAGATTTATTTGTCTTCCATTTTGGGGGGTGGAGGCAAAGACCCCTCACTTTTAACCGTTTTCAGGGTATCTGCAAAGGAGCCAGTGGGGTGGGTGTCCTGGCTCCCCGGAGGGGGTCCCAGCGTGGGGAGGTGCCCCCGTTGCCTTGGGTGTGGGATCTTCGCTTTGCACAGGACAAAAGGATCCATCCCTGGTGTGGCATCATCAGGCTGCCTCACTTCCCAGAAACTCACAAAAAAACTTGGCCGGGGTAGGGAGGTGGGGCGGGGGTCTTGCATCACCTAATGTCCTCAGCCCCAGCATCCTCCAGGCTCCGGGGGCCAGGTCTGGGCAACCCCCACATCCCTGGAACTAGGTCCAGAGCGTTGTGTTCTTCAAAGCTGCAGAGCCAATGCACGTCCTCCAGGAAGGCTTCCAGTCTTGCCTCTCCCAGCCCCGGTTCCCTTCCTCCATCCAGCCCTGACCACGTGCACTGCAAAGGCCTATGTCTAGCTCTGCTCCACGCCTGGGGGAAATTAAAGTGTGTCAGGGGGTGGGGCACGGCAAGCGTCCTCAGGGCACCAGCACCACCCCACACCCGAGTATTTGCTGAATGGACACGCCGCTGACCTCTGAACTATGTTTGGACTGTGTGACTCAACTGAAAAACGTCTGCGTGTAAGCGGACCTGAGAAGTTCAGACCCATGTTGTTCAAGAGTCGAGTGTGTCACGACAGGACGCTGCTCTTCCTGGGTGGTGGATAACAGCATTCCAGCGGGCCGGCCAGCGAGCGTCCCTCACGGGCGGGGTGTCGTCAGGCTGTGGGGGGCACCTCTGAACCCGGAGGCGGCCTCGAGCTCGTCCCCAGGCTGATCCTCACTTCCTTTTGGTTTGGGGCGAGTGATTTCTCCTCTCTGGGCCTCAGTTTCCCCATTCTGTCAAATGGAGAGAATACTATTCACCCATAGGGCCTGGAGGTCCTTGTCACCTCGCTGTCCATGTCTTTTTTATCGCTTTAGACTTTTTATTTGGGAAAATTCCAGCCGCACAGAAGCGAGGTCAGGGGATACGGTCGACAGGCGACCTCGCCCTGGCGCCCCAGCCGCTGACGGTGACCATGCTGGCTCTCCTCCTGTCCAGCATCATAGCGCTTCATTGCTACATCCCATGAGCTTAGAATCAGAAACTTCTAGAAAAGCACAGTACTGTTGTCTCTCAGAGGGTTTATGCGGAGACAACAGTACCCTCTCATACCTGTGCCCCACATTCCACTTTCCCATGGTCCCACGTCTTTGTTATTGTAGCAATATATAAGTAATGTAAAATTTATCGTCTTAGTCATTTTCAAGCACAGCTCAGCGGCATTAAGCACATTCACATTGCTCTGCCACCGCCCGTCTCCAGAACGTTCTTCTCCCCACCGTCCGTCTCCAGAACGTTCTTCTCTTCCCAAACTGACCCTCTGTCCCCATGAAACGCTCGCTCCCCTCCCCTCCCCCAGCCCTGGCCCTACCATCTACTTCCTGTCCCTATGGATCTGACTCCTCTGGGGACCTCCTGTGAGTGGGATCACATGGTATCTGTCCTTCTGTGTCTGTGTCCTTTCACTCAGCATAGTGTCTTCAAGGGTCCTCCATGCTGTCACATGTATCAGAATCTCCTTTTTTAAGGCCGAATAATATTCCACTGTCTGGACACCAGATGTGTGCATCCATCATCCATCGATGGCCATTTAAGCTATTTCCACCTTTTGGCCGTTGTGAATAATGCTGCTGTAGGCACAAGTGTACAATAAATATTTTTGAGGCCCTGCTCTCAATTCTTTTGTGTATATACCCAGATATGGAATGCTAGATCGTATGGTAATTCTATGTTATTTTTTTGAGGAACTGCTGTATTGTTTTCTACCGCAGCTGCATCATTTTATATTCTCACCGAGCGCATCTTCTACAGTTGGGATTTGTTTTTTGGGGGGAGGGGAAGGGCAAGGAGGTAGAAACAAATCCAGGCTCCAAGGGGGATCACAGGTTGCATTTTCCTGACATGTTTCTTCATCTCTTTTTTTCATCTAGAACCTTCCCCTGCCTTTTTTTTGCGTGTTTCATGACTGTTGGTTTTCAGGGGTCTGGGCCAGGTATCTTCTAGAACCTCCCACGATCGGCTGTTTCCTCACAATCAGATTCGACGTGTTTTTGACACTGAGCAGTTTCGGGAGGGCTGTCGCGTCCCCCTCGGTGCATGGTGCCAGGAGGCACGTGCTCCTGATTTGTCACCTGACTGGTGATGTGAAGCTCGACCACTCGGCTCCAGTGCACCAACCGGATCTCCCCATCACAGGTGTCTTTTCGCCTTCGTAATGATGAGCGATCTGCGGGAAGGACATCTCCAGACTGTGTGACCGCCCCGTCTCGTGACCCCGGGACGGAGGCTTTTCCGACGCCACCCCCGGTGCCTGCTAACTTCCTAATCTCTCTGTAGCATTCCTTACAGCTGACCATTTCCACTTTCCTCAAACAGCCTGCTGACTTCCCTGATGCCACACCTTTCTCCCTCTCCCACTTCTCGGACTTTGGATTTTACGTTTCTGCTTTCTTCCAAGCCCCAGCAGCAATGCCTCCTCTTCCATGAAGCCTTCCAGCCATGCCGGGTCCTAAAAGATGGATGGCCTTCCAGGTTCGTTTCCGTAGACACCCCCATTCCACTGTGTACTCAATTTTGAACTCGGAAACAGCAGGTGGAGGGACCGGACGTGGTCCTACGGCTTATGGGGAAACGCTTGGAGTGTTTTTCTTTGTTGATGGGATGGAGAGTGAGGATTTGAGAAAATAGGTTTGAAAATCACTCCAATAGCCCTGTGGACGAAATAGAGTTGAGAGAGAACACAGTAGATCTGAATGATAACAGAAATAATTAGAAAAATAACACCATGGCACAGACTGGCTCCATGTCCATCAAACTGCTTCCTCCTGGGCATGTGGCTGGACTACATTTCCCAGCATCCCTTCCAGTTAGGTAAAGCCACATGACTGATTTGGCCAATGGGATGTAAGAGGAAGTGATATAAGTCACTTCAAGCCCGCTCCCTTAAAAACTTAGAGTCCGTCTGGTTCTGTCTTTCCCCTTTTGTCAGCTGCTTGGAGAGGACTGAAGGAGAGCTGCCCAGGAAACTCCATCTGCACGTGACTGCCACAGACACAAGAAATAAAACTTCACTGAGTAAACACCCTCCACTGGAATTGAGAACTGGTCCTTCCGGCCACTGGTCTACCCTAGGATTTCTCCACCAACATGACATTCGGGGTCAGATCATTCTTTTTATAGGGAACAGTCCTGCACGTTGTAGGATGCAGACGGCCATCGCTGGCCAGTAGCACTGCCCCCGACCCCCACCCCAGTTGCGACAACCAAAAATGTCTCCAGGCATTGCCTAGTGTCCCCTGGGTGTGCAGAATCACCCCCAGTTGAGATTCTCAAGCTACGTTTATGGAGGCCCTTGGGCATTTTGGGGACATGGACTCAATGTGGCCACAGCTATCCCGTCATCCCATCTTCTCCCTCAGCCCTCAGCTCTCCGTTGCCATACAGGCCCCAGCTAAGGGTCATCACAGACCTTTTATTCTCCTAAGTCCTGTTTGCGTTACTTCCTAAACAACGATTAAACCCGTCCACTTCTCTCCACCTCCCCTGCCGCCACCGGAATCCAGGTCACCATCCGTGGATGCCTGGACTGGTGCAGTAGCCACTCCCAGGTGGCCCGGCTTTCCCCTCTTCCCTCTACAGTTCACTCTCAACACAGTAGCTTGAAAGAGCGCTTTTCAAAACGCCTTTGTGATTACAGTCTCGACTGTGGCTGAAGGCGCCGCTTTCCGAGGTGGCGGGAGGCCTCCGTTCCTTGCCACGTGGGCTCCTTGGGTGTCCTCACAACATGGCAGCTGGCTTCTCCTGGAGGAAGTGATCCGACACAGAGAAAAGGAAGGCCACAATACTTTTTGTGACTTGGTCTCAGAAGTATCGGAAGTGACTTGACACAATCGCTTTCGCCATATTTTATTTATGAGAAGCAAGTTCAGCCCTAAGATCAGCTCACATGCATGGGGAAGAGACTCAGCTTCCACCTTTTAAAAATTCTGTGGATGTATTTTTTAAAACCACATTCTCCAACCAATTTCTCGGTGAATTCTACCGGATCCACCTTCAAAATCCTTCTAGATTCTTAACGTTTCCACTGTCCCTCCCCTGGTCCAGCGACCCGGGAGTCCATCGGCAGATGAGAAGGGACATACAACGTGGCATACGACTGAACATCATTCAGCCTTAAAAAGGAAGGAAACTGACGTGACTGCACTCACAGGAGGTCGCCAGAGGAGTCGCATCCATAGAGACAGGAAGTAGACGGTGGAGCCAGGGGCTGGGGGAGGGGAGGGGAGTGAGTGTTTAAGGGGGACAGAGTTTCAGTTTGGGACGATGAGAAAGTTCTGGAAACGGATGCTAGGGATGATAGCACAACAATGTGAGTGAACTTAAATGCCACTGAATGGTACACTTCAAATGGTTAGGATAAATTAAGATAAATTTTATGTCGTGTATATTTTACCAAAATTGAAAAATTTTTAAGTAGTTACTATCCAACCCTTCTATGGTGCTGACTGTGTCCCAGGCTCTGTGCTCAGATATGTTTTGCCTCATTTAATCCTCTCCATCGTCTCTGAGCCAGGGACATGATCGTTACCCCCATTTTACAGGTGAGGCTCATAGAAGTGCAGAGACTTGCCCAAGTTCTCACAGCCAGGATTAGATCTCTGACCACTGTGCATACCGCCCCTCCCTGGACCACAGAGCCGCTTACCATTACTGCTTCAGCCAAGAAGGAAGGGACCCGTCACACAGATGCAGAGCTGAGGCCAGGGTCCCTCAACGTCGGTCCCAGGCTAGGACGGGGACCCAGGAGGGTCTGAGCCCGCACAGCTACTGCAGGCCTGACGTGCGCAAAGGGGGCTTCTATACCAGCGAGTGCAGGGGCCTGCGCTGGCGGTGTGGGTTTGCGTCTTTCCTTATGCCGCTACTCTGGGCCTCAGTTTCCTGTGCCACAAAGCTTAAAAGGGTACTATGGAAGCATCCAATGGTAACGGGTCCCCAGGGGGCCAGGAGTCCAAAATACAGGCTTCCCGAACCTCCGTTTCTTCATTCGTAACATGAAGGTAATATTTAATAACAATGACTATTATTATTAATATTATTTTTTCGCCTCGGCAAGACTCGACATTTGGGGCTGGATTGTTCCCAGGGGCACTTTGGGGTGTCAAGTAGCATCCCTGGCCCCACCCATTCCATTCTAGGAGCACCCCCCTTAGTCAAGAAAACCAAAAATGTCTCCAGACCCCCAAGCATCACCGAGGGGTTGAGAACCCCTGTTCACATAACACGGCTGGGGGCCGACACCGAGTTAGCCCGAGAGCAAATGCCACTGAGATTCCCAGCTCTTTATTTGCTGTGTGGCCCCAGGCATGAGCCTTGGTTTCACCATCTGTAAGCTCCCACTCATCACTCACCCCTCCCTCTTGAAGACCTGGGACCAAACCAGCCAATGTCTATAAACTGCATCGGCCAAAGTAAGCGGTCACTCACGGGCCTCCTGCTTATCCCAGGCTGAGGTTTTCTGGAAGATTCCGAGCCTCAGTCGCAGCCCCGGAACCCTCCCCCCGGCTGCCTCCCCTCTGGGCCCCAGCTTCAGGGGACCACACAGGCGGGCGTTGGGAACACTTCCTGTGCGGTGGCCCGCGCTGCCCACGGACCAGGTGGGCCAACGGGAGAACACAGCTGGGGCCGCCCCACTTCCTGCCCCAGGAGGCGCCTCTCACGCTCCTTCGCCCCCACCCCAAAAATAACATCCCCCCCCCCGGAACCAAAGCTGCCGGCACCAGCTGCAGCCTCCAACTCGGGGCACACAGGACAAGCGGGGGCCAGCAGCTGCCACCGTGATGCCTGCCCTGCTGGGAATGTCCTTTCCCCCACCGCATTCCAATCTCAAAGGGGTGACCTGGCCTCCCCCCTGGTCTGAGACACATGAGCTCTAAGCAGGCAGGGCCGGTGGGGGAGGGTTCTCCTTTGCCATCCTGCGTGACAGAGGGCCCTCTCTGGCCTGAACTCCCAGATCCGAAGTGCTTCTAATCTTCACCTCAAGGGACTATTTTGGGGGGTAAGGGGCTGGTTGCCAGGACAACAGTCCACCACCTCTGCCCGGAAACAAAGAAGCAGCCAGGAGAGCCAAGAATTGCATGTTCTTCCCCTGCCAACGTGACTGGCACATCCTGGCAGCTGGCACTCAGAGAGCCACAGTCCGACTGCTGGGTCTGGCCACCCCCGACAAGGCCATTCAAGGTGGGGGTGACAGGGGGGTGGCTGCGGCCTGGAGGGGGAGTGGCCCCTAGGCCTATGTCCTTCCGGTATCTTCTGATAAGGAAGCCTGTCTGCTCTGCCTACAGGACTTCGCGGAAAGGCCTGGGGGCCTCTGGCTCTGAGCTGGACGGGCCACCAGGGCCTAGGGGACAAAGGCCGCATGGAGACCTTCCTGCCGAAGGGATCCTCGGCCCAGATTTCATTGGGACCTGCTGGCCTGGGAGGCGCTGGCCCAGGGGACAGTGGGTCTTAACACGTTTCCCCTCCCCCAAGCCCGCCACCGCCTCGCAGGCGGCAGTGGACAGCTGGCGCCATGTGGGGGGCGCGTAAGACGGGCCAGGGCCTGCATGCTAAAAGACCCTGGCTTCCCGCGACAAGCCGGCCTGAGACAAAACCTTGCCTTCTGCCATCGGGCCACACTGGTCAGGCTGGGCCCCTGGTGGGATCTGCAGCTCAGGAGGACACGGGACAGCCTGTCAGAGCTGGGGGAGGGCTGCCGAGAGAAAAACACAGGCCACGCAGGTAAAGGAGGAATTTCTCAGCATAAGTATGTTCTTTGGGACACCTGGGACATACTTAAGGTAAAAGTATTCATTGCGCATCTAAATTCACGTTTAACTGGGTGTCCTGTATTTTTATGTGATAAGTCTGTCATCCTAGGCCGGAGCTCTGGGAGAGGCAAAGCTGAGCTCACCTATGTCCCCCCGAACTCACTCCTTGGCTGGTCCCAGCCTCAGACATGGACAGCCCCGCCGTGTCTCACACCCCCACCCTCCACACGACTCAGGGCCTCCAGCCAGCGGCCCACGGCAGCCTCCCCTTCTGAATCCCAGCCTGTCCTCTACCCTCTGCAGTCTCTCTGCCCTCTGCCCCCACCCTGCAGTTCCGGCCATCGGCTCCCACCTGCCCCCCTACAGCCGATCCTTGCCTAGCTGGGCTGCCCCAAAAGCTTTCTGTCTCTCAGGAGCGGGCGTGGGCCATAGCATCGGCCGGAGCCGGGCTCACTCCCTCTTCTGCCCACCGCCCTCCAGGCGAAAGCCCAAGTCCTCCCCGAGACCCACACTGCCCTGTGCGACCTGCCCCCATCCCCCACTCCCTGCCCTCACCCCCTCACTCTCTCCCCCTCGCCCACTCTGCTCCAGCTACATGGACCTCCTGGCTGTTCCTCCAACACGCCAGGCATGGGCCTGCCTCAGGGCCTTTGCACCAGCTGTGACTGCTGCCTGGAGCACACCCTGTCCAGAGAGCCACACGGTTAAGTTCAACGGCCTCCCTGCCACTAGGCCTCAGTTCCAACGTCACCTCCCCAGTAAGGTCTCCCTCGTCCATCTTATTTAAAATCGCAAACCACCCTGACTCCCCATCCGCCTTTCCCGCTGTATTTTTCTCCATGGCTCACACCCGCTTCTAATATATCATGTGACACGTGGTCTGTAGTTTGTCCCTGGCCCCTCCCCCTCCACGCGGGCAGGGGTCTTCTCTGTCTGGCTCACTGCCGTATCCTCAGCGGGGCACGCACGAGGCACTTAGTAAACGCTTCCTGAACGAACGAACACCACGGGGCTGGGGAGGTCCTCCTGCACCCGCCTCCACATTTCTAATCCCCCCTTTCCTTCAAGACTCACCCGAAGCAAGTCGGCTCATTTTCCTCTTCCGGGTCTCCTTCATCCTCAGGGCGGCCCGAGAGATTTTTCAGATACTCCAACCTGCCCATGCTGACCTTGTTCCAGAAGCTTCTGTGGCTCCTAGTGCTCTCAGGACTCTGCCAGCCTGATCCTTGCCCACCTCTCCTCCCCGACACCCTTGTCCCCACCTCCAGCCTCACTCTGCACCTTCGCACTCTGTTCCCCCTGCCTGGAATGACGCTCCTGTACCTTCACCTGCCGACTCCTATTCATCTCTCCTGCCTCGGCTTAGATCTCACCTCCTCCTGGAAGCCTTCCGGGAACCCCCACCCCCACCCACCTGGATCCAGCGCCTCGTCCGGCTCAACCATGCCTGTGCACCCCCATCGCGGCCCTGATCGCCCTCATTTTATCCACCTGGTCACCGGAGCCACTCGTCCATCAGACACAGGAGACCCCGCGAGGGCCTGCGACACTTTTAGGGACCCACAGAATGGTTTCGTTTTAATTTCTCTGAATATCAGAAGAAAAAATGAAAAAAATGATACCAGTGCAGTTATAAAAGATTATTTGTAATATTTTTCACGGAAGGAGGGACCTGCAACAGCAGAAGCACCTTGGGCCCCCGAAGGTCTTAATGAGGCCCTGCTGGTCCCACATGCGTCACCACACCAAACTACGAGTGCCCGTGAAGGCGGGAGTGGAGACCCGGTCCCCAGGGCTGCCCAGCACCAGCCTGGCACACAGCAGGTGCTTAATAATTGTTGAATGGTTGAATATCCAATGATCGCTGGTCCTCAGTGCCAGGCCTGGCATGGCCAGGGTAGGGCTGCCATAATAAGAGCTGCTTAATAAACAGATGGAAGCTAAGCAGGGTCAGGCCTGGTTAGTACTTGGATGGGACACCACCTAGGAAGACCAGGTGCTGTAGGCGTAAAAAATAAATTACAAAATAAGAGATTGTAAGCTGACCAGTTCCTTGCGATCTGTGAGGTCAACCAAGGGTTGCCTCACCTAAAAAGAAATAAATGACAAATAAAAATAAACGGGTGGATTGACAGAGGGAAAGGTCGGAGGGCAGAGAGGACACCTGGACCAGGTGAGACCAGCTGGGGCCAGCAGCGCCATCTTGTGGTACAATGCTGGCCTGCCTCTTCCTCCCCTCCACTCAGTGGAAAAGTACTTGAGTTTTCAGAGCCACAACTGGAAGGAGTTGGAATGGAGGAGGAAGGGGAGGGGAGGGGAGGGGAGGAGGGAGGGGAGGGGAGGGGAGGGGAGGGAGAGGCCAGGCAGAGGCCAGGCAGGCAGAATCTCAGAAACAAAGACTCTGAAGACTGACCACCCTGGGTCCAAACCCCCGGCTGCCCATATCTGGCTGTGTGACGGGGGCGGTACACCACCTAACGGATCCTCCGCTCTCTCCTCCAGAAAGCTGGAAAAGTCAAAATCAGGCCTCTGGATAACGCGATGAAATAGCGCAGAAAACAGCAGCTGCTTCTCACCTCCCACCCTGGGCTCCTGGACGGCTGATGCCCTTGAGGAGGTAGCTGAAGGCTACCGGCCATATCTCCCAAGGCTGGGAGGTGACAGTCCATCCCTAAGAAGACATGGCCGGGGCAGAGAAGGAAAAATGGGTGCCAAACTAGCAAAATAAAAAGAATGCCCGGCTCCGACCGAATTTCAGATCGACAATGAATAATACGCGAGTATAAGTGTATTCCAAATAGCACGTGTGGTAGACCCATACCTCCAAAATGCATTCATCGCTGACCTGAAATTCAAATTGAACTGGGCAGCCTGAGTCTTATCTGGCATCCCCGGCATCAGGGAGCCTGGGGAGGTAGGCAGGAAGGCTTCCAGGAGGAGGGGGCAGTGCTGGTGAGGAGAGAGGGGTCCAGCTGCCCTTTCCTTCCCCTCCCCCACCCCCATGTGCTCGCACACAGTGGCAAATGCCCTTGACTCCCCCTCGCAAGGGACTGGACGTGGCAGTTGATCCCCCCATACCAGGGAAGCAGGTGGGCATGACCGTTCTCCTTTCGTTCAGAAGATGGGGGGCAAAGTTACCAGGACTTTATTTTTCCAAATCAGAATTGTGTTATAGCCCCTTGACCAGAAATATTGTGGCCACTTCCCAGCACGGAAGGCCACTCGGAAGCTGAAGGCTACCATGAATATCTCCCAGTGACTTTTGACCTGGGTGAGTTTGGACAAGTCACTTCACCTCTCTGAGCTCTAGACATCCCTGACCCCTTCTCTTCCACTCCTCCCCGTCTCACACTCTGCTCCAGCCGCATCGGCTTCTGGGCTGCACCTCCGACTCACGAGGCATAGTCCAGCCTCAGGGCCTTTGCACATGCTGTTCCCTTGATCAGAAACACTCCTCCCAGATCTCTCCGTGGCTCCTTCCTCTCCTCCCTCATTTCCGTATTCAGGGCACTCAGCGAGGCCTCCCCTGAGCACCTGTTAAAGGTTGCAGCCCCTGCATCTTCGATGCCAGCCCCTTGTTTTTCTCAGGAGCACTTACCACCACCTGACCCGATATGCATTTTACTCACTTATCTTGTTTATTGTCCGTCTCTCCCACTGGGTGCTGAGCGCCACAAGGCCAGGATCTGTTTTACTGCTGTGTCCCCAGCGTCCAGCATAGCAGCTCATCAAAAACTGCCGAATAAATGAACAAGTGTAGGAAAAAAGGCCTGCAAGCAAATGTAAAGTGCGTATCTGTCATAGTCTATTGCTTCAACCTTTCGCTTGCAAATCTAACTGAAGGTGGCTACTTCAATGTTAATATTCAGCGTCTTGGTATGCAACAGCCACGGGGCGCATATTGGATGGGACGGAATTCTAGGACGTTCCTAACATCTCAGAAAGCCCTGCTGCACAACATGAGCATAGGCTCTCTCAAAAAAATATGCTTAGTCACAGGCACACAATTCTTCCTGTGTTCTTACCAGAAAGTCCCACCCCAACCCACATAATTAGCAGAGGTGGCAAACTGCTGGCCCCTGGACTGGATAAGGTCCCAGATGGCCTTTATTTGGTCCAGTAGTTTTTCTAAGAGGCCGCACATTGCTTCTACGGTCCGGAATTCCCGTGGATCCATGCATCCTGGGGTAGACCTCCACAAGGCTGCTTTCTGCCACTTGCTGCTACCCCATTTACCTCCTGCTTGGCCCGTAGGGACCTCTGAGTTTGAGACCTTGGTTTATAGACCGAGAGAACAGAGGCTGGCTTTTTAAAGGGGGAAAAAAACATCCCAGTGGGTTTGGCTTCAGGAAGGGGTTGATCCAGTAGCCGGATGCAGGAGTTGGCCCCTGCATTGCCCCTGGAGGCCGTCTCTGGGCCTCAGTTGTCTCATCTGTAAAATGGGGATAGAGGGACACATAGTTTGGGAGGATTGAGTGGCACTATAATGGTCGGGGCGGGCAGAAGGCGCTGGATATCTGTTCACCGCAATGGTTAAAGCTGTTCACTAAAGCTGGGTCGGGTCCGGCTCCTCACGCTCGCGCCCCCAGTGGGAGTGTGGCCCCTGACACGCCGAGTTCTCGCAGAGTCGGTTTGGCCACCGGAGAAAGGGGGGCCCGGGGGACCTCAGGGACGCATCGCCTCGCTCTAACAAGTGCATAGGGTCTCCAGGTGGGCCGGGGCGCCCTTGGCGTCGGGTCGGGGTAACCGCCTCAACACCGGGCGCTGGGCGGAGGGCGCGTGCCCCTCCCCGCGACCGGGCGTGCGGCCCCTACAGGACTTCACTTGTGGCTCCAACGTTCAGGGCCGGGAGGGGGCGTGGCCTAAATGACCCCACTGCATTGGTCCTCCGGCCCGTCACTCCCAGGTGCCCGCCCCCCAATATAAAGGTCCGCCCTGGACTGGCCCAAGACAGTTTGGGAGTCAACTTTAAAGTCGTTGTCGCCGCACCCCGGACGTCCCGCTGACCGCGGTGAGAGGCGGGGGTGCCGGAATGCGGTAGGGGGGACGGTGACCGCGAGTCCTGGGGCGCCCCAGGGGAGGAAGGGGCGGGGAGGGCCTTCCCGGGGCCTCCGCTGGTCCCTACGGCCGGGGGGAGGGGTCTCCAGCCCCGGCTGAGCACCCCGCCCCGGCAAGTCAACTTCGGGAACTGGCTCAGACTTTCCAACTCTCTCCTCTCCGTTCGTGGGACTTTCGGTGGGGAGCTGCGAACGAGCCCTCTAGACGTGGCAGTATAAAGCGGGGTACGGATCCCCGGACTGAAACCACATCCTCTCCAAATTTAACGTGTGCTTTATTTGCAAACGCAGCTTGGAGGCTCGCCGCCGCGGGTCCTGCACAGGAATTCCGCCCTCCCGGGCCCCCAGACCCCTCCCTCTCTTACCGGGGAGCAGTCCTTCTGCCCAGCACAGCCCGTCCCCTGCAGATGGTCTCACCTCCTGGGGCCCTCTCTCGCCCCGGCTTCTGACCCCCAGCTGCGGGTGGGGAGGTCGCGAGCAAACCCCGCCCCCTTCCTCCGGATGGATGCGGCGCAGAGGCCTGCCCCTCCTGATCTGAGTCCTTGGGACCTATGTCAGGACTGAGACGAGGGCCCGGGCCTGGGACCTTGGACTCTGGGAACTTTGGAAGTTGGATCTTAGCGAATCCTGGCTGCAGCTGGAGGGCATTGCGACTCCATCCAGTTCCAGCCCACTCTTCCCCTGGCCGCTGGGGCGACATCTGTCATAGTTGCCCCTGGTTAAACTCATTCACGGAGGGGATTGATGGACAGAGGGGATGAGAGGGGTGGCCTCTAAGCTGCCAGGTGAGCTCAGGCTCTGAGGAAGGTGAGTGGAGGAATAGGACTCAGGTGATGATCGCCAGGGGCAGGTGACTCCTCACCCCTAGTCATAAGCAGGGAGCCCATTCCTGGCTGGCTTCACCCTTCGGATCTGTTTACTGAGGAACTGCTCTGTGCCAGGCTGAGCGTCACGTGTGCAGCCTCTCCCCCAGTCCGCAGAGACTCCGAGCTAGGAGCGGTTATCCCCATTGTCTGGATGTGGCGAGCAAGCTCCGAGGGGTTGCTGCCTTCCCCAGCTCCCACGTGAGTGGCAAAGCTGGGGTGAGAACCCAGTTTGGCCTCCAGAAGTGGTGCTCTCAAAACATCAGGTTCCACTGGGTGGAACACCTCTGGGCCCTCTTCCTCTCCAGCACATTCTCAGAATCAAGGTCAGAGGTTCTCAACAGGCTCACCCCAGAATTATCTGGGGGACCAGCCTTTAAGGCAGGCACTCCCGTTAGCCCCATTTTACAGGTGAGAGGACGCACCTTGCCCAGCATAGCACCCCCACGGCTCTTGTCTCCTGCAGACGTGTGCGTTAGATCCACCACCAGGGAAGCCTCCCTCACCCTTCCCACACCCCTCGGTCTGACTCGATGGGTCTGCAGTGGGGCCAGTCTTGTCTTTAGGCTTCATTTTGTTTGAACAGGTAATAGTATCTACCTGGCTCAAAAGCCAGAAGCCTGCCCCAGCTACCTGACCTTCCTCCCTGAAAAGTGGCCACTTTCCACAGTTTCCTGTGTCTCTTTGAAGATTCTGTGCAGATGCAAACACTTTTGCCTCATCCACACTCTGTCTCAACGATATCTTTGTCCATGTCAGTTACGTACAAATTGCCATTCTTTTGCCAGGCACTGGGCTAGCCCTTCAGGTTGTTGTTATTAGTGTCCTGTGGCGGCCACTGGTCCACCCGCACCTGCCCTCGTGGCAGGGTAAGCGGGAGACAGTCCTCGCAGTGAGGTTTCTAGGTCAAAGGGAAGATGCCTGTTGCCATCCACAGAGGTTTTTTGCACCATGGGTGTCTCTGGAGTACTGATACAGGTGAGAGTCCACGGAGAGCTGGCTGTACCCTGACCTTGCCCCTCAACGTGGGGCCCCAGATCAAGTGCATCAGCAGTACCTGGGAGCTCATTAGATAAAAATGCACTCTTGGGCTCTGCTGAATCAGCACCTGCTTTTGAACAGGGCCACGGATGGGTGTTCATGATTGCGAGGCAGGGCTTTCAGAAGTGGAGGGATGTCAGGGCAGGTGTGAACCCGGACTTCTCCCTGGAGGGAGGGGCCAGGCAGGCTGTACCCTGACCAATCCTTCTGTCCACAGTGCGTGCTTCTGAGAAATGTCTACCAACGAGACAGAAGCCCCTGCCAACACCCATGTGACAGCAGAAGAACCGGTACAGCAGGTGAGGAAGGGTTTAGGCTTCCCACATCACGGCACCGTGGCCGGGAGCCAGGGAGCTGCTGCCAGCACTTTGGGGTCAAGAGAGATCTTTCCAAGTGGGTGAGGGAGAGACAGCGGACAGAGCCCTAACAGGTGCCCCACTAACACATGGGGGCAGAACTGGGGTGCGGGTTGAAACTGCCTGGCCCTCCCGTGGCCCCCGGCCAAATGTTTCCTACCTCTGGAGGCTCTTAGAGTCCCCCTTCCGGGAAGTCAGTCCCTGTTCCTACTCCCCTTCCCCAGTTTAAATCAAGGTTAATTTGTTAAGGTGTCGTCCGTGTACCGTGAAATGCTCCCTGAGGAAGGGCACACTGCTCAGCTATCTCTGGTGAACTGCCGAATTACGCCATCACCACCATACGGTTCTAGAACATTTTTCATCTCTCCCAAAAGAGACCCCACACCCATTAGCAGTCACCCCCCAGCCCCACTTCCTCCAGTAGCCACTCATCTAGCTTGTCGCTATGGATTTGCCTATTTTGGGCATTCTATAGAAACAGAAACATGACATGAGACCCTTCTGTGTCTGGCTTTCACCGAGTGACGTTTTAGAGGTTGTTCCGTGTACTGTACGTCAGTGCTTCATTTCGTTTTTAAAATTGAGGTAAAATACACGTAACATAAAAATATACTATTCTGACCATTTTAAAGAGTACAGAGCAGTGGCGATAAGTACGTTCACGGTGTGCAACCGTCCCCACTCCCATCCATTCCCGCTATTAATAGTCCCATTCCCTCCCCACTCCCATAAATTCCAGAACTTTTTCCTACCCCAAAGGAAACCATCCCCACTATTAATAGCCCCATTCCCTCCGCCCAACGACCACTATTCCGCTTTCTGTCTATGGATTTACCTATTCTGGACATTTCTTATAAATAGAATCATGAAATCATTTTATAAAAATTGAACCTTCTCTGTTAGGTACCTCATCAGTGGAATCATACAATATTTGTCCTTTTGTGTCTGGCATAATGTCCTCGAGTTTCATCCACATTGTAAGCGGGTATCAGAATTTCCTTCCTTTCTAAGGCTGAATAATAGTCCATTCTGTGGGCAGCGGGGGGAGGGGAGACAACATTTTGTTTATGTCATGTCAGTGGACACTTGGGCTGCTTCCACATTTTAAGCTATTGTAAATAATGCTGCTATCAACATAAGTATGCAAATTGTGTGGGAGAGAGACAGAGCTGAGCAGGCTGCGTGGGCGCCAGCACCCGTCCTGGTCCCTGATTGGTTCATTTTTATGCAAATGAGGAATCCAAATTTGCAGTTTGATTGGTCCACATGGCATGGTCCTAATTGGTCAGAACCGTGCATCCTGATTGGTCATCATGGAGCCACTCTGGTCAATAAAGATGCAAATGAGGATGTAACTGTGCAGCTCCAATTGGACAGGGCGGGTCCCAACTCACTGGTGTAAACAGGATTCTGGGAAGTCCTTTATGAGGATAGGAACACAGTGCCGGAGGTTTGGCGGCTCAGTCCTGGCATCTCCGCGCTGCAGTGTGCCCGAGCGGCCTCTGTCGGCAGCGATTGCTGGACTCTGATTATTCATTTGGCCCCAGCTCACCACCAGGAGCCCTTCTTAGCTGATATGTTCTCTCTAGAGGTCCAGCACACTCAAGTACAAGTCTCGAGTGGATGTGCCGGGTAGATTCCCAGGAGTGGAATTGCTGGATCCCGTGGTAAATTTGTTACATTCCGAAGCGACCACATAGCCTTGTGGGTAAATCCTGGAGGCGGATGGCCTGAGTCCAAGGCCCAGCTTTGCCACTGGCTGGTTTTGTGAACTTGGGTGACTGACTGGGCCTCAATTCGCCCATAGAATAAGACTTCCCATCTCCCAGGACTGCCGATTAAGTTATGCAAACAGCACCCGTGGGAGTTAGCACTTCTGCTGGCAGGCATTTTACACGCGTGATCTTTGCAGCCCAAGACAGAACGACTGTGTATTGTGTGGATGGGAAACCGAAGCTCAGAGTGGCTTATGGCAGCTACTCAGTTCTGTTCTTGGAGGGCAAAAGCAGCTGTATTCAGTGTATAAATGAATGGGTGTGGCTGTATGCCAATAAAACTTTATTTATAAAACCAAGTAGCAATAGAACAATTTTTTTCTTATTTATTGGGGTTACACTGGTTAATAAAATCATATAGGTTTCAAGTGTACAATTCAATAATATGCCATATGTGCATTGCATCGTGTTCACCACCCAAAGTTAAATTTCCTTCCGTCACCATATAGTTGATGTCCCACTGCCCCTATCTGCCTCCCCTCTTCCAAAAATATGGACTGCTTCGCGAATTTGCGTGTCATCCGTGCTCAGGGGCCGTGCCGGTCTCTCCTGTTCCAGTTTTAGATCATGTGCTGCAGAAGTGAGCGCATGATGGAATGTTATTCAGCCATATTAAGGAATGAAATTCTGACACATACTGCAGCATGGATGAAACTTAAGGACATGATGCTCAGTGCAATAATCCAGACGCAAAAGGACAAATATATGATTCCACTCACAGGAGGTCCTCAGAGGAGTCAGAATCACAGAGACAGGAAGTAGATGGTGGAGCCAGGGGCTGGGGGAGGGGAGGGGAGGGGAGGGAGTGTGTAATGGGGACAGAGGGTCACTTCGGGAAGAGGAGAAAGGCCTGGAGGTGGACGGTAGCACAGCATTGTGAGTGTCCTTAATGCCCGGTAAATTTTATGCTGTGCGTATTTTACTACAATTAAAAAGAAAACGGGAAGCACAGACACAGACTGCTGCTTGAACGAACCTTGAAAACATTACTCAGTGAAAGGGGCCGGACACGAAAGGCTGCAGACTTTGCGATTCCATTTATTTGAGATTTTTGTGCAAAACCTCTTAAGATCCCAAATTCTTCCCGAAGAGGCAAATTCATAGAGACCGAAAGCAGCTTAGTGGTTGCCAAGGGCCGTTAGGGGGTACGGGGCTCCTTTTCGGGGCAGTGGAAATCTTCTGGAATCAGACAGTGGTGATAGTTGTACGACCTCACGAAAGCACTGGAAACCACTGACCCGTATGAGCTTTAAAAATGGTGAAATTTTTGATGCGCGAACTAGATCTCAATAAAGCTATTTGGGGAAAAAAACAGGTGTGGGCTGGACTTGGCCCGTGGGCCATAGTTTTCAGACCCGTTTCAGACCCTAAGCTTGGCGAGGGCCTGGCACACAGTGGGCGTCGAGGGCATGTTCAAACAAAATGAGCTGCAGTGCCAAAATAAGGGAAGCCATTGGCGAAACCCCAAGGTTCCTGGCTTGTACATCTGCACGGGCGCAGGGCGGGGATGGGGGGCTGAGCCGTTTCTCTGGCCGGAGTAGGGGCGAAAGTGCGGGCCAGCTGAGTTTCAGGCCCAGCCCCCCAGGCACCCCAGCTGGCCTCAGCTACGTCTCTCTTGTAGCCCAGCGTGGTGGACCGCGTGGCCCACATGCCCCTTATCGGTGCCACCTGTAATATGGTGTCCGCGGCCTACACCTCCACCAAGGAGAGCCACCCCCACGTCAAGACCGTCTGCGAAGCGGCGGAAAAAGGTGTGAAGACCCTCACAGAGGCTGCCATCAGCGGGGCCCAGCCCATCCTGTCCAAGCTGGAGCCTCAGAGTGAGTATGGAACCTCCCCTCCTGGCTGGCTCGAGGGTGTCTGCCCCACCCCGGGTCCTGTCCTCCCAAACCAGCAGCAGCTGACCTTCCCGGGGACCCGAGGGATGCTCACGTGTGGTAACCGTCCTGTTTCGGGCTTGCCTCGCCTCCTGCAGTCGCATTGGCCAGTGAATACGCCCACAAGGGGCTGGATAAGCTGGAGGAGAACCTGCCCATCCTGCAGCAGCAGACGGAGAAGGTAACGGGCATGAGCCAGCGGGAGCCCCCGCAGGGACAGGGACCCGCCTGGCTATCGAGTCTGTGGTCCACCTTAACTAGCGTAGACAAGTGTGACGGCTTACTTACCCTCTGACGCTCCTGTCCAGTAGCGCTTCCTCCCTGGGCAGTTGGCCGAATGTTCTAAACGCCAGCCTGATCTGCTCAAAGCCCGCTCACGTCCTTCCCACCTTGCCCAGAGAAAAAGCCACAGCCCTCCCCACGACCCACGGGGCCCCGCCACCTCCCTGCCTCGTCACCCACCTCACTCGCCCCTCTTCAGCCTCACCGGCCTCCGTCCTCACCACTCAGTTCCTCGTGTGCCCATAGGCACTGGACACAGGGAGACAGACAGTCCTCGCCCTTATGGGACTTCTGTTCTGGGGAGGCAGGGAGAGCAGAGTCGCCCGGCTCAGTCGTACCCCAGGGCCTGGGCCCGTGCGGTTCCTGCGCCGTGGTTTCTGGGTCTCTGTTCTGACCGCACCCCTTCAGAGGCCTCCCTTCCCTCCGAGGGCCCTGCCCGCGTAGCGCTGTCCAGTAGAACTTTCTCTGATGCACGTGTTCTTTCTGTGCACTGTCCAATATGGAAGCCACCAGCCGTACGTGGCTACCGCGTCCTTGGAATATACCTAGTGTGACTGAGGAACTCAGTTACCAATTTTAATGATCGTAAATTGAAGCAGCTACTCTTAGTTTACAGCCATCGCCATCCGTTCTAGAATGCTTCATCACCCCGGGAAGAAACTTCACACCCTTTAGCTGTCACTCTCCTTCCCATCAAACACCTCGGCCCCTGGCAGCCGTGGATACCCCTGTCTCTGTGGATTTACCCGTACCCGGATGTTTCCTATAAGTGGAACCATGTAATACGTTCATGGCCTTCTGCGTCTGGCTTCTCTCACTGAGCACAATGTCCTCAGGGCTCGTCCACGTTGTAGCAGGTGTCAGAATGTCTTTACTCTCTAAGGCTGGGTAACGTCCCATCGCATGAATGGACCCCGTTTGGTTTATCCATTCCTTTGTCACTAGATCACTCTGAGTTGCTTTTATCTTTTGGCCGTTGTGAGTCATGCTGCTCTGAACATGGATGTGTGAATACCTCTCTGAGATCCTGCTTTCCATCAAATTGTATTTAATTTTAATACATTTAAATGGCCACGTGTAGCCAGTGGGTGATGTATCAGTGTGGCTCTGGGAGGGTGGAGGCGTGGAGGAGGCGGGCGGTGCGTCCGAGGCCACACAGCTGGAAGGTGTCAAGGCCAGGACTACCCAGGCCGCTGGCTCCTGAGCAAATGGTCTTCACCGTGACACTGGATTCATCGCTGACCCTCGAGAATCCCCCAGCGCTGGACCTCCTCCCCTGGGCCTCCTTGGAGATGGGCGTGTGGGGTGAGGGTACCCCAGCACGGAGGGAGTGCAGAGATGCTCATGCTGGCCTGTCTCGTAGGTCCTGGCAGACACCAAGGAACTCGTGTCATCTAAGGTATCGGGGGCCCGAGACGCCATGTCCAGCACGGTGTCCAGCGCCAAGGACGCAGTGGCCGCCCGAGCGACAGGGGCAGCAGATGCGACCCGGGAAGCCATGCAGAGTGGCGTGGACATGACCAAGTCGGTGGTGACCAACAGTGTCCAGTTGGTGGGCCAGATGGTGCTGAGCGGGGTGGATACGGTGCTGGGCAAGTCGGAGGAGTGGGCGGACAACCACCTGCCCATGACGGACTCCGAGCTGGGTGAGTGTGGCCCGCGGGCCAGCCCCCACCCCGACACCCCCACGCAGAGTCCGTCGGTTTGAATGACATTTAAATGAACAAATAAATGGCCGGTGGGTGAGGGGAAGAACAGAGGAGAGTCTGAGTGATTTAATTCAGGGATCTGGACACCTGCTGAGTCCCGGGCCCGATCCTAGACATAGGGACACAAGCAGTGAGCAGGCTGGAGGACGGAATCCATGACCAATTCTGGAAAGAAAAAACCGAAGGTGGGGCAGGCGGGGGCGGGGAGGGTTTCAGGACAGTGTGGGCTAGGGCAGCGTATGTTTAGAGGCCCCGTGGGAAGGTGGCATTTGAGCATAGAACTGGAGGTAGAAGGGAGCTAGCCATCTGAATACTTGGGTGAGGCCACAGCCCGTGCCAAGGCCCCGGGACAGGATCGTGCCTGGCGTGTTGGAGAAACAGCTGGGAGCCCCCTGTGGCTGGAGCAGAGTGGGCGAGGGGGCGAGAGGTAGGAGGGGAGGACCGGGAGGGAGGGGAGGGGGGCAGGTCACGCAGAGTCCTGTGGGTTTTACCCTAGGGAAGGGCTGTGGGCTGAGAGCGTGGACTGGCCCTGACTCAGGTGCTCACAGACGCCCTCTCTTGGCTGCTTTGGGGAGGACAGGCTATGAGGGGTGCGGGGGAGGGGGTGGGTGGACCTGGCCAACAAAAATGGGAGCTGGACCAGGTTGGGGCAGGAATGAAGATGGACAGACAGACTGGGGATGAAGCCACTGGAGATGAAGCAGCCTGTACCACGTCCTCGTGACCACGGCCGTGGCAGTGGGTCTTGATCCACGTTTGAGAGATGGCCCTCCTTGGCACACGTGCCGGGGACTGCAAACGTGCCCACGGCTGCGAGGGCCCACGAGGGCTGCCAGGAGCTAGACACCATGCTCCGTCCAGGGGGCAGTGGTGGCCCAGTCCCAGCCGACTGGCCAGAGCAGGTTTGTTTGAACAAGGAGACGTTTGGGAGAACTGGGAAAACCTTGAAGACAGACTGGACCAGGGTTCCCCGCCACGGGGCTGCCAGCTTTCGGGGCCGGGTCACTCTGCGGGGCATCCTGGGCACTGGCGGGGGGGTGGAGGACAGTTGAGCAGCATTTCCGGCCCCCACCCACTCGATGCCAGGAGCACCCCAGGTCGTGACAACCACAGATGTCCCCAGACGTGGCCCAGTGGCCCCTGGGGGGCAGAGTCGCCTCCCAGATGAGGCCCTCCGCTTTGCCCGTTCTGGCACTTCCTAAGTGGAACCGTGTGGTTTCAGAATGAGTTGGCTCCTCCTCATTACCTCCACCTCCGGCAGTGGGTCGCTGTTGAAAGAATTACTTCTTTCTCCGTAGCTGGGAAACTTCCGTGCAGAAAGTTCTCTGCAATTCGGATCACCCCACGGTACAGTTTGTTGAGGAAAAGCAGTGAAAATGGCCAGCCTTCCCCCCTTTATTTACTGTGGCATCACGGGCTGCTTCACCAGCACCCTCCATGGGTCGAATAGGGAGTCTTTATGTTTGAATACGTGGATTAAGAGGACATTTTCCAATCTGACAAGTTTATTTCACGGATGCTTTATTTGTCATTATTTTGGGCCACCTGGAGGCCCCCTTGAGTTGGCTCCGAGTCCCCATGATTCTCCCTGAGGCTCCTCGGTGGAAAGGGGAGGTTCCCTAATTTCTGGAGAGGCTCGATGTCCCGGACAGGGCTGGCGATCTTCAGCTTTGCATCACGTGGCTCGAACGTAGCATGTCACTTGTCCTTCGAGTTTCCACCACCCACCCGTG